GAAGTGGAATTAGAGTTTTCATATGGAAATATGGAGGAAATAGAGGTTTATTTTGTTACTAAATCTGAAGAACTATTGCTTTAGAGGTTTGCCCATCAAAATACAGAGGAAATGGAGGTTTTCCGACTAAAACATAGAGAAATAGAAGCTTAGAACGACAGAACGACAGAACGAACGAAGGAAAGTAGCAACAAAAACAGAGAGCAAATACAGGAATAACACCCTGGAAAATAGTTGTCAAAAACACAGGAAAAGCCAGGAAAAGCTAAACATAACTAGAAAACACTTGTCTGAATTGGAGCTGGGCAAAATCGCACAGGCATCTAAAACAGCCACGAAGCCTCAAGAAACAATCCCCAAAAAGGTACGCTTTTCCAAAGCTTGGGCCCGTTGAAATCCCATGACATGCTAGGCGAATCCCACAGAAAGCGTACCAAAAAAAAAACTGACAAAAAACAAACATCCTAGAAACAACTGAACTTTTCCAAGTTTAGAGCCCGGGGGCGGAAAAGGTATAAAATCTGGGGGAAGATTTCGCTGTTCCGCATCCCGGCTGCGAAGAAGCACGCTTCAACGAGGTAAGCTATGCGAATCTAAGACCTGAACAGCCGAAACCAATTTTGGACCTGTTTAGACGGCGGTCCGGAGAAAAGAGCCAGTCGCAGTGATGTTAAAGGCTTCACAGTCGAGCTACTCTTCGCGGACCTCTTCGGACCCCCGAACAATCGTTGAATTCCCCCCCCCCCCCCCCCGCCTGGTGTCACCCATGTCCCTTCATGGGACATGATTTGGTGAATGAATTCTGACCATCTGAGGTTTGATTCTGCCTGTACATTGGCAGCACTGCTGCCTGGGAAGTGCTGACAGCTCGGATGTTTCATCGTGGAAGGGAAGTGCTAGGGCCTCTAGGGAGCAGCCCTGGTAAATGGCAACATGTCATCTGTAACTTTGAAGTGTAGCAGTGCAGCTTCCATCTCCATGAGGATGTTGGGGATGGCTATGGGTGGCGATGATGCTCTGCTGAAGGCAAGCTGTGAGACCAGTTCATGGCTCACTTCATGGCTCACACTGTGCTGGCGTGCCTTCTAAGATGCAACATCTCGTGAGAAGTTCGATGCACGAGTCCATTCAGAGTTTTGATCTTCAGGCAAAGCGCCAGAAAAAGGAGGCACATGTTCGCTGGCAGTGCATGAGTTGCTGTCGCCTTGTGTGAAGTGCAAGGCTGAAGAGGCCGCAAAAGCAAAGGACGGCGAAGAATGTGTGACACGTGTTGTTCAGACGTCCACACAATCTCAATGGGGGGTCAGGTCGACAAGCGTCTGAAGTTGTCACCGCGATGTGGAGACACAACTTCTCAGAGCAGTGGGCTGCAGGACTCGCCTGATGGGACTCCAGCCGGGAATGCTGCCTCCAGCAGCAAGAGCGAAGAAGTTAAGAAGGATGACAAGGACGCATCCAAGCAGGCCGTCAAAGAGGAAGAGGAAGAGGATGAGGACATGCATGGCAATCCGGCAATCTGCGTCAATCTGCTTTAGATTACGCGATCCTGAAATTCCTGAATCCTGAGGATGCCACTGATGCCTTCAACGACATCATGGAGGACGATGACGCTTTGAGCGTTTCAGTCACTGTCCATCGCTTCATACACTGGCTGTGAGGCACAAACAAGTGGCCCCTAGCTTAGACCTTGCGCTCAGCTTTCTACGCTCAATATGTCTTGCGATTCATGTCAAGGCAAGAAGCGGACGAGACGAGAGTTCGAGGCCACACTTCTGCAGTATCAGCCAGTTATCAGCCTGCTACACAGTTGAGCCACAATTGGCAAAGCCCTTCTTCCCTGCCCATTTGCTCCCCCTGCCCCTCCGTTTGTGGCACCGTGCTGCGCTGAATAGAAGTTGGAGTAGGATGCATTTGATCAAGCACCCTCGCGCAAGTCCAGACAAGTCTCAGCATCGCGAGGCCTCTCTTCCAGAGATGCCGGAAGTGGAAACAGACACGGAGTATGACAAGGCCTGGAAAGTCAATCCTTTGGCCTACGCATGCGAACCGACATCCGCCAGGTCGACTTGTCCGGCTTTCCGGGTAGTCTCCGAATAGAGGTGGTGGTCGCATGCGCCGTTTTCTCACGGTTGGTACATGTTGGCATCACAATACTCTGACAGGGCAGCTCCTACGAGAGACTAAACGGCCTCTACAGGTGCGCCGGCTAAGTTGCCAACCTTGCTCACATCTCGAAGTCCTTCAAACCTCGTAATGACCCCAAACGGCAAAATCCTAAAGACATGAATCATGAATCTCAAGAAGTCCGACAGTCCTTACAGCTCTACTTGGAGCCTTCGATGGCCCACGGACCCACAGTGCCACATGCGCTCAGGAAGTTCGGCAGCCCCAGCCGGGGCAGGCCTGGCACTGCAAGGGTTACCCTTAAGGATTCTAAGGCATGTTAGGGTGTTCGGATGTTTTCAGGCGCGGGGCCTCTTTTGGTTTCTCCAAACGTAGCACTCTTTTATTGGGTTCGGCGGAGGTGGGGCTGGAGATGTTCTTTGGCTTTTTGCTGCATTCGGGCTGTGCTCGTTTTCTTTCATGCGTTCTGCTTGTCTCGCGTCAAGCCCTTGCCCCTAGACCGTGCTGAGACAAAAAGCAGGTAATTCGAACGGACATGCAACCCAACAAAGCAACACACGAAAACACACCACACCACGCACGCGCACGCGCACGCGCACGCGCACGCGCGTGCGCGCACGAGCACGAACAGGAACACGAACAGGAACACGAACACGAACACGAACATGAACACAAACATGAACACGAACAGGAACACGAACACGAACACGAACACGAACACGAACACGAACCCGCCCACGCCCCGCAGCACGCCTCCACCCCCCCGCATGCACGCCCCAGCATGCACGCCCCCCTACATGCACGCCTACGCGCACGCCCGCACCCCCAGCTCCCGCACCACACGCCACTGCGCTTGCTTTCGGCTGGGAATATATAAGCTATCTTGATTCCGTCAGTGCCGTGTGTGTTGTTTCCGAAATCTCTTCTCGGTGGATGTTGGAGTTTGCTTCTGGCCCCTCCCAATTCTTCGCTCAAATTTTCGTCAAAAGAAGTGCTGCTGGTCAAGTCAAGACCCACGTGATCCAAACCAGGCTCCCCAGCTGTAGGGAAGACATACTCATAGCGTTTCATAATTAACCACTGACCACTTATCTCCGTTTGTTCGCTGTTCGATGTGGCTCGCTCATTCTTTACCTCGTTGGCTTTCGGATTTCAAGCTGATTCACGCCCTTTTGACCACCCCTCAAGCGTGGATGTTGGCCCAACATCCGCCCCTTTAGCGTCTACAAAACGTGAAGAAAATAAGCGATATTAACTTTTTGTGGGTGCCCACGACAGCCGCTAATTCATATTGCCCCAGCTGCCTTACTTGCCCCACTTGCTTTTCCGGAAGAGCTACTTGATGTTGCCCCACTTGCCCCACTTGGTGGCCCGGTAGAGTTTGCCCCACTTGCCTCACTTGCCTCACTCCAGCAGGGCATGCGGCATCCACAAACCCCTCCCCGCTCCTCATGGCTGCCAGCTGGGCCAAGCTTGCCGCGCCTCAATCCGCTGTCTTTGGGCAGACTTGTGGCTGGAGCCAGAGGTCCCCCCTCTGGGCCCAGCTTGCCCCCTCCTCCCCAAAGTGATGGGAACGGGGGAAGCTGGGGAAGCTGGGGAAGCGGGGGCAAGCGGGGCAAGTGGGTCAAGTGGGTCAAGTGGGGCAAGCGGGGCAAGCGTGGTGTTTTCAAGCGTTCACGGCCGTCAACCGCGGCATTTCCTACTTTCAAGCAGATCTTCATCATGCGCCTCATTGTCGAAACAACTTCAGCGCGATGTCCCTCAGTCTCTTGAGAGACTTGATTTGCAAACGGCATGGCGTTGTTTATCATCGGGTATTTCGGGGTATTATTATTGGTCCAACTTGCGTTGACGTTGTTTTGTTGTCCGGTTTATGTTTGGTGTATTAGTATTTGTTTTGGGTTTCCTGGTTGTGTGGATTTGTGCGTCCCCTTGTGTGCCTCGAATCCCAGTATCCTAAACGGCCTAAACGTCTCAGTTCAGTTTGAACCCGATGCCAGTCTCAACTTGAAACCCTGCAAGCAAACAAACAAACAAACAACACCCAAATGACCCAAGGGGCATCCATTGTGCTGTCCCAGAGCACAGCCGGGCAGGCCAGCTTACGTCAAGATCAGCAGGGGGCAGGACAAGAAGAACTTGCGCGCAACTGATTTTGTCAGGGACGTCGGGGGGTTGAGCCTTCAGTTCACAGTTGTTTTGAATCATGGATTAGTAGTTGCATCTGCTCGGCGAGGTACATGTTCTGGATTGACCACAAGTGGCAGATAGGCTTCGAGTTTGGTCAACGGAAGTGCATAGCGCGTGGGGCCAAAATGTCAAAGCTGCAAAACAGTTGCTTGACTCACCGGCCGTCCTGATGGACTAAGGAACATTGCCGACGCGAAAGAGAGCATCGAGCCTCCTTTCGAGCCATTCCCCGGTGTTTGGAAGGCAAGCAATGCCACTGTTCTATCAAGTTCATTCGACGGGATCTGGCCGGAGCGACCTCTGTGCACTGCAAGGCTGATGGACATGTTTTGATTCTACCTTAAGGGGGGGTATATGCGCAGGTGCTGGAGAAGCACAAAGACAAGGATAAAGACGAAGAGAGAAAGCAGGTGGGCTTCTCAGCAAGTGCCGTTGACACGATGCACATGTTCATCCTGACGCCATGGTGACATGTCAGGAGGTAGCTTGTGCATGACACAAAGGAGAAGCTTGACTGCTTTCAACTGAGGGCCCTTGCCTCAGTTTCCACCCTTCGGGTCCGACAGGAGTGCCGAACTGCAGACGGCAGCAACGTTTCATTATAGGCTCTTGGGTTCCAGGCTGAGGCTCCGCATTCCCGTGCCACTGTGGGCATTGCAGCCAGGTCATTGACAGCACCATTTGGAATGACTCGCACGAAATCGAGGCTCCAAATCGAGGGCTGTCTCGCTGCCAGTCTAGCCTTTCGTCGTAGCTGTGCTTTGGATCAGGATTTGTACCAGCCGTACGAAGCTCATGCCGAGCAAGCGTACCTCGCGAAGGAGGCTGAAAGGGCTGAAAGGGCTGAGAAGAAGAGGTTGGCCGGCGAAAGAAAAAGCAACAGAGAAGCGGAAGACGCGGCGAAGCCGTCAGCTTCGTCGGCATCCGAGATCGTTGTCGCGGTTTCAGTGCCAGGCAGAGTCTGGCGGGAGTCACCCGAAGTTGCTCAGGCCGAAGAAGACTTCATCTGCTTCAAAAAATCTGAGAAAGAGTCCCAAGAAGTGCCTTGGTAGCAACCTCTGGGGCTGTGTGCGGAAAACAGCGGAAGCCATAGGTAAATCAGCACGTTGTGCCATGATGCACTCGTGGGGTCAACGGCTTCTCGCCATTCCGCTTGCTTGCCAGGGCCAGGGCCTCTTCCCTCAACGGTTCCAAGCAGACCGGTGCGCCTGCCTTAGCCTTCTGATACCTCTGAGCCTAGGCCTGTGGCACAAAGTGGCAGCACATTTGCTGTTGGAAACTACGTGCATCCTGGAAGTTATTCAGCATTTGCTTGAGGATGATGAGGCAGATCTGGTAGTGCCGGCATGTTCATGTGACAAGCTTTGTGGCCCTGCGTGCTGCTGCGAGACTGAATGGAGTCCAGTCAGTGAGGTTGAATTGGTTTTGCTAGTGATACTGCAGATCCATGGTGCCAGGTGGAAGCTGCTGCCGCAGCCAACAACGAGGATCGGAGCCCGTTCAAAGTCGAAAGGATTAGCTTATGGCAAGCTTGGAGGACAGCGACGATGATCCAAAGGCACGCCCACAAGCGGCCATGCACTCATGATTTCTGGTGCAGATTGCTTGTGCTTGCAAACTGTCCCTGGCCTGGTATCACACATCCAGTAGAGCTGCTTGCATGGAACCTCGCTGTTGCTTGACAAGTGCGTTTCCAAAACCCAATCTCTTCCGGTCCGCAGGCAAATCCTCGATCTTCGGCGCCTTCCGCGCAGCGCCCCCAGTTGCTTGCTGATCCTGCATGTCCGCAAGAAGCTGTCCGGGATGCAGGGTTTTTGCCTCGTACGACAACCCCGATTCCGCTCTAATCTTCAAGGCTGAATGATGTTGAAAGGGCTCAAGCCGGCTTGATCTCCAGAAATCGCGTCTGGTGCCTTATCCTGACCATCCTGAACTTTGAAGCTTAGAACTCTCAGCACCCAAGTGACTCAAATGCCATCAAATGCCCCTAGCGATGCGCTAGAAGCCCGAAGCCCCAGGGCCAGGACTCTAGTCTAGGTCCAGATGTAAGGGTTGTGTGGGCTCTGAGGGTTAGAAATGGGGCTGCCTGCCCAAGGCCATCAGACAGCAACGAGTCGGTGTCTGACAGTGATAGCGAGGAGTCTGAGCCTCATCCTATTGCTCATGGTACGTAAGCTCCAGGCGGCGTCGCTGGGTAGCGGGCTTGCTTACTCTTGAACCATACCAGGGGTTCGGCCAGATAGGTCTATGATGGCATCTCCTATTGTGCATCGTCGGCCAATTTTCACTAGGAGAATCTCCTCCCGTGATCCCTCAATGTTGGGATGCCAGCGCCTGTGCGCCACACGCGCCTGTGCAGAGGTCTTCGTCTTCCGAGTCCTCGGAGGCCTCCGAGCCCGAGGATGACGCGGAAGTCCAGGAGGGGGGGGGGGAGGGTGGAAGTGCTTTACGGGTGCTTTTTGTGGATTCAGGAGGTCCCAGAATCCCTCAAAGCCTTCTCAGCCCTCTCTCAACCCTCTCAAAGCCGGTCAGGAAATGAATCTGACCGCCAGAAACCTGGTGTCAAAGCTGCGGGGGATGACCAAGAATGAGGCGATGCGGCGCCGTGCTTGGGCTTGGGCTTTCAGGCCAAAGGTGTGCCTCCTGCGCCGTCCCGACAGCTCTTCCCGAGCCATAAGCCCTAAGCATAGCAGCATAGCTTCGCGAAAGCTCTTATTCCTCAACAAGCCGTTTGCAGGCGACTGGGAAGGCTATGAAGCTCTTCAGCCAACTCAGGCAAGGTGGGAATGAAGTCACGACAGCTGGCACAGAGCCAGTCGTTTGGTTTTATTGAGCTAGTTGTGGGGGGGGGGGGGGGGCCAGCACCCACAATGAAACACCTCTCCCCCTAGCTTGCTTCCTCCCAGTCCCTTTCCCTATTCCCTTCCCATTTCTTCGTTCTTCAAGCCTGCCTTGCTTTCGCTTCACGTGCCTGCGCCTGGGGGCTGGGCCGCAGTCCAAAAGAACTTCCCTCCCATTTGTTCGGCACCCTGTGGGCTGCTCATGATGGCCCCCTGATTGCGTGGCTGCCTGCACCCAACCATAGTCAGCTTCAGGAATGGGGATGTAAGTTTGGCTATGCGGGTTTCGGCCTTTTAGCCTTGGGGCCTAGGGTTTGACGCGTGGGAGACACGCATAATCTGCATTCCCGCATGGTGTGCACAATACGAACACACGAGTGCAATGCTATTCCAACAAGGGGATGTCATACTAAGAGCAATCGCAATGCCAGTACAAAGAGTGTGTGTGTGTGTGTTCTCAAAACATGGTTGGGTTCGATACAGATGCACCATCCTGGTCTGAACATCTTTTTCATGGCCGGTTATGTCAATATTGCGCCTGAATTTTGACACCGATACATTGAATAAGCCCGTGGGCATGTAGCACCGGACGAACATACTTGCACCATGGAAAGAAAAGGCATGCAGTTGTGACAGCCGAAAAATATTGCAAGCAGATACCTATTACAAAATAGTTTTTTTGCCGGCTAGCACTTGCAGCGCAATAGTTCGAGAACGAACGCGAACGTGAACTTTTGCATTCTTCCAGCACGGCCACGTGTATTTTTGCGTCATATGTGAGGCGCTTGTTTTTCAGAGGTCTCAAGTTTCAAGAAGAGGTCCAAAACACCGTAAGCAAAATGCTAGCCATCGCAGTCATCGCGCTACGACGCCAAAAGCACTAGTGGCCCATGCTAGCTGGCAAGTGTGCTGCTGGTGAACATAGAAGCCAGAAGCATGGTCAAACAGCTGCAACAACCCTGCAACTGTGACCCAGAAATTTGCGGGCTCTACCGCCTACCACGTCAAAACTTTATTAGCCATGGTTTTGCAACTTTTACGGAGTGACATGCGCGCAAACGATCCCTCCCACCAAAGCACGTCAAGACCGTTCCAGGAGTACTCCAGAACCACTAGAGTACTCCAGTAGCGACATGCACAATTGCTGAAAGCACAAAGCCTGCAGACTAAAATAATGTCCGGGCCATCTCCCGGCCGCAGTTTTGCGGATCTACAGGAAGATCATGAAGTTCAAGACGCATTACGACAATACTGCGGCAGCGGAAACGAGCTAAAGCATTGCTTGACGCGGAAATAGTCTGTCAGACCGTGCCTGGTAAGAACAGATGCGTCGCCTTTTCCGATGCTACCAAGGCGTGCTGCCCAGCTAGTCGGAAAGGCACGCTTTCATGCAGGCTATATGCGTCGTTTTTGTGTTACGATTTTGAGATAGAAGTGCACGACGTGAATAGCCTCTTAGACTCTTGTGACACGCATTGCACGCTCATGACTTGACATGTCAAGGCTCAGTCCCCCGAGCCGCGGACGGAGAAGCTGGCTACGTTGCCTTGCACATGAAGCTTCGCTTGTCTGGCACATTGATGAAGCCCAGTCATCGGATTTACGGCTGGAGAAGAAAATATTTTGGTTGAGAAACGGCGGGCATGAGAATATCATGCTTCAAGTTGAGACGTTGAGGCTCACGACTCGCAGGTGGCGATGCAGAAAACCCATGGCCTTGGTTGCGAAATCCTCCTCATCAACAAAGCCTCCATGACATGGCACGCTGAAACAAGGTGTTCAATCTCTTGAGATGTTGAAAAGCTGGGTGGACGGAAGGTGACTTTGGCACGCAACTGGCTGGAGCAGCAATAGCTGCACCACGTCGAACGCGCGTGCTCGAGTTTGTGTTGCGCCTGCGCAAGTAACAGAGGTGACCTTGTGTGTTGCCACCTCGATTTCTAGCCAGCGTCCGAGACTTGTTCCCACAGGTTATTACACTAGACAACTAGTACGTGTCGAGCTGAGGCGCAATATATCTGTTGCCGTGATTCGTGACGTTGTGCTGAAACTGATCGCGTTGTTTTTGCTGGCGGGGCGGAACCTGGTCAACTTCACACGCCGCGACTTTAGTCCGCGCGCGTCAAACTTACAAACTATGGCGCCGCCGCGAAAGCCCTTGAGCAATTGAAGCCGTTGCTACAACGAAAGGCCTTGTCGTGGATGGGGCGAGTGTCTGCCACTTAAAGAAACGACACGCAGTAAATGCTGGTTTTCTCGCCACTTTTATACACCCAGGTCACGAAGGCAAGCGTCATGGGCAGCGTGCCTGAGTTTTTAAGGGACAGGTTACTGCAGCTGCGCTCGTCCTGTTCTTTTTTGCGCGCGTTTGTTGAAAATTGTAAGGCCAAATCTCCTGCACCGCCGCTTGCGCCTGGCGATATCTTTCTGACGCCACGGGCCCGCTGGGGCTCGCCGGGGCCTTTGTTCTCTCGTGCCACCTTCTGCTGTGTGACCTTTAACCTTTTCACTCCAGACTCCAAACCAACGGCGCCGCGCCGCAGTTCTATGTGAGTGGGCCTTGTCGCTGTAAGGTTGCACGCTGGCGCTGGTTGGAAACGGCCTGCGCTGTCGCAAATAATGCTCTTCTCGTTGTTGCTGTTGCTGCTGTTGCTGCTGTTGCTTCTGCTGCTGCTGCTGCTGCTGCTGCTGCTGCTGCTGCTGCTGCTGCTGCTGCTGCTGCTGCTGCTGGTGTTGTTGTTGTTGCTGTTGCTGTTGCTGTTGCTGTTGCTGTTGCTGTTGCTGCTGCTGCTGCTGCTGCTGCTGCTGCTGCTGCTGCTGCTGCTGTTGCTGCTGTTGTTGCGGCTGTTGTTGCGGTTGTTGTTGCGGCTGTTGTTGTGGCTGTTGTTGCGGCTGTTGTTGCGGCTGTTGTTGCGCTTGTTGTTGCCGTTGCTGTTGCCGTTGCTGTTGCCGTTGCTGTTGCCGTTGCTGTTGCAGTTGTTGGGGTGGTTGTGGTTGTGGTTGCTGTTGGTGTGGTTGCTGTTGGTTTGTTTGCTCTTGGTGTGATTGCTGTTGGTTGGTTTGCTGTTGGTGTGGTTGTTGTTGGTGCGGTTGTTCTTGGTGCGGTTGTGGTTGCTGCGGTTGTTGTTGGTGGTGGGCTGTGGTTGTTGGGGGTGTGCTGCTGTGGTGGTTGTTGTTGGTGTGCTGGTGTGGCGGTTGTTGGTGGGCGGTGG